CGACGATTCCCCCTTCGCCACTGTACGAATTTTAGGAACTTCGGTTTGTTATTATAAAATAATGGAACGAGTTCTCTCGAGCACGGCCTCGGCTGAATTGACTCGCCTCCATCCGAACGAAGTGAAACTTGTCAACTTTGCTTCGAAATTTCTACGCTCGTTCTCATTGGTCGAGTCGTTTTTCCTTCGAGTCGCTTGAATTTCAAGTGACTTGTCTAATCTGAACGCGACCTAAGGGTGTGTACGCACCAGCAGAACAGCGGTGTTTGCGGACGGTGTTTGCGAACAGTGCTCATAAGATGTTCGCAAACATTTTGTGACCACTCTACGATCTTCTCGCGAACTCGAAATTCTCGAAACCTGGAAAAAATATTTTATACATCAACTTTGTATATCTCTCTCTCTCTCTATTCTCTCTCATATTCGCTAGAGATTCAATTACTTGATAATATCTGACAAATGGACAACGAATGGTTTCGCAAACGCTAATGGGGACGCACGTTTGAAAGGGGAAGGATGATAATTGGCGTGAAACGTAAGGATAATGATAATGGACGTTTGTCGCGTCAGGATATTTTAACGGAGGATCAGTTAATGCAATTAGGTAGCCCCGAATGAAAACCAGAGGGTACGTTGTCGTGCAAATTTCAATAATGTCGAGCGAAAGAGGGAGCCTGAAAGAGGGAATGGAACAAGTAGGGACAAAGATACGCGAGTATATAGGATGGAACGGAATGAAACGAAGTAGAACCGAAACGAAACGGAACCTAATGGATGCATTACCGCATTAATTTCGGGGTTCAACGACCTGTCCGCGTAGGTGTGCAGGGTACATCTGCAGACTCGCGTGAAGTTCTACCCTTTTTGCAGAGCTCGGCCGCCCGAGTAAACGAATTTGACCGAATCCCTATGTCCATTGTCAAATCGTTTTATTTCCCACTGGTCGGTCAATTGTAATATATCAATGAAACGTTCGATTCTCTTCTCTACATTGTATTTATAACATTGTATTTATAAGAAACCGTATTTGTAATCAAAGGCCGCGCGGAATAAACGTGAGAAGTGCATTTTCGTTGGTTTTCTGATTTCGTTGTTGCTATATTAAAAATCCTTGATTTTTTTAAAGTAAAAGGAAAAAGAAAAATGGACAGATTGGTGAAGTCGTTAAAAGCGATGAAAAGTGAATTATCCTCCCACCATCCAGCATAATACATATCGACCGAGTCCGGTGTCCGGTTACTTACAAGCGGTTGTCGCATACGCAGATGAATCGGATCGGCACGACTTTTAAATTTTCGAGCATTCGGCTTGACGCGTTTAATCTTATCGCGTCATGTGCCGTTGGCAGATGATTTGTCGCGTGATATTTTTAAACGCCGCCGCCCTTAGAGCGACAGCTGCCGCAACGACGACGAGCGAAAGAACTGGACGATAGCGGCGAAAAGTGCGCCGATGATGAGCCGACACGGGACGAACGGGGGGGAGGGAAACGAGAAACCCGTCGCTCGTATCAATTATTTCTTCATTTATTTATAGGCAGGGCCACGACACCGTGGTATCACCGTTGTTGTTTTCCATCATTTCCACTTTGTTCGAGTAGTCTCCTTCGGTCTCCTTTTCGTTTTCCTTTTCGTTCCACCAGCAACTGGCCTTAGAGAGGCCGTGCCTCTTTATTTCTAACCCTTGCTACCACGCTATTTATACGCGCTAATTATCTTTGACGCTAGTTTCCAACCAAATCGTTGATCGGTTGATCTCTCTCTCGTTCACGCGTGTATCGCCAAGGTGTATCGTTTCTGTACACGCGAGGGAAACGTTCCGTCTCCTCTCGTATCCTTCCTTATTATAGTTCGTCGGTCGAAATATATATATATTTCGAATACGCGCGCGTATTGACAACGACGAACATGGACAGTCGAAAACACGGCGCAAGTCGAACCTTAAGGCCGTAAGAACCTTAACTAGAAAACGATTCTATAGTGCGGTCTTGCAATGCGACTGACCTCTGTTCGCTAAAACTATATTTATCTCTCAAGCGCCGAAGCGCACGGTGTGTGTACTTAATGTTTCAGTTTTATTGTCTCTCCGTTCTACGCTGCGACCGGCTTTTTTTCTTTTTCCTTCTTTCCCCGCCGCGGCCAGCCTCTTTCTTCCTCTGTCGCGCTCACTCTACGCATTTATTTGCGTCCGGGACTGTGCTGCTCGCGCGCGCACCAAATATAAAATCCACATATTGCGTTCCGTCGCAACACGTGTTTCCAATTGGTCAACTCGTTTTCCCGATCGGCTGCGAAATTCCCGAAAAGAACCGCGCCCGCGCGAACCCGCGCTTATGGGGGTGGAGGGGCCATTAAAGGTTCGGTCGATTTTTCTTTTCTTTTTCTTTTTCTTTTTCTTTTGTTTCTTTTTTTTTTCCGCGAAACGCGACGCACGGACGAGATCAAGAACGACGTTCTCGAATTCGAACTCGGTGGTTTCCCTCCCTTGCGACGTTGGACGTGCTTTTAAAAGATTTCGTGCCAGACGGGCGGTAGCCGCTAGTCTGGACGAAAATAAAATTGCCATCTTTCTGTCTCGCCGCTCTTTCCATCCACGCCTTTCGGCGGCAGCGTGACTCATTCCTGCAAACGTCTGACCTGCAAACACAAAGAAGGACAACTCCTAAATTAACGGAAAAGAAGAAAGGATAGAAAGGGGGGAAGAAAGAGGGAGGAGAGAGACGGCGCGCTATCGAACAAGTTGCGTACGATCTTCTGAACGAAGACAGCATTGAATTGTCGTCGTGGCATTATTCACTTTTATATCCACGTAGAGCGATCACTCGCGAATGCACTCGAAACACTTGCAGAAACCTCCTCGTACGAGAAATATTTTCTAACGAGAGCACAGTTGGCATTGCGGTCGTAAATTTTGATTACGGTGCTAATGGAAATTTCAGAAAGTATTTCGTGCAACAGAGAGCAAGATATACGTACACGCTCTAAAATTGAAATTAAAATCAGAGAAGGCAGAGTCTCGGTCGTAGATTATTTTTTTATTTATTATAATCGTTGCCTAGATGACGGCTTTGGATGACTTCCGATTTACAATGTGTATCTCTTTACATCTTTCTTTCTTATTTTCTAACTCTATAACTAATCGTTAATGTCTACATCTTATGGAACTAATTTATCCTCTGTGCTCTGTCGTATAATCCTCATACACTTTGATGCCCTTATAAATCTTGCAGTCTTCTTGTAGGAACTAAAAGTAAAAAAAGCTACAGTCGCAGATTGTATTTCGCAACGAGTCGAGTCAAGATTATAATCGAGAACCGTGACAATCGATTTGAAAGGCGAACGAACGTTTTCGTAGGATTTTTGATAATTTCGTTTGAGAACGACGTTGCCCGTGACAGGTGGGTGGGTAACGAAGGAGGGAACAAAAGACAGAGCAGATGAACGCGAGAGGGAAGAACGACGTTCCGTCAGTCAGTCTGCAATTAACTGGCGTATAAATCGATTTAAAGAGGGATTCGGTACGTGGCTGCTAATTACTCGTTTCCATGACGATGTGTCTGGGCGTGGGAAAGAGAAAGCATGAATTCGCAAGCACACCGAGCGGAAGGAAGGAGGGAAGCTTCTGATAAATAATTATCGTCCAATGCGGCGGACACGTACGGTGCGTGGAATGTGACAGTGACAATGACGACGAATCGCGCGAATTTGCCTTTGAATAATTTATCGAGGCAAATTCACTTCTCAGGCAAATTCACAGTTACTTAAGTTGACAAGTCTTCGAACTCTACCTTCTCGAGAAAGTGAACTTTTCCAACGCCACTCCAATACTCAATTCTCTCCTTTACTTCCAATTGCAGAATCCTTTCTTTTTCTCTTTTTCTTCATTTCGTTCGTACCATGAACTTGTGTCGCGGAATGGTAAAGTAGTTTGTGCACTTTGGTGTTGTTCGAACAAGTGGATTCAACCGGTAAGAGTCGGACATTGGCTGGAATTCGGTTCGGAGGGAATCGAGTCCGTACAAACGGATGTACAGTTTTGTTCAGGCAGGTTGGTTGCGCGCCCGAAGCGAGTCCAATTCTAGAAGCGATCGTCACGTACGAGAACGCGAACTCTTCTTAACGAACAAAAGAAGAAAAGAGTCGTTGCACGATGCGAGATGCTGTTGGTGTCTGAGAAAGGCGGCTTCGTCATTGAACATAGAGAAGCTCGCACCGGTGGCATCTGCTTCGAATACCGGGACGAGTCGACGGTTTAGAAGGCAGGGCAAACTTACAAACAGGCGATCGGTATCGATACGGAAAGAAAGAAATTGCCGATTGATCGGCCGAGGAAAAACGTTCGTAGTCCCCGTACGCTTAACGGTACGATTTGAGGTAGCCTTTACCCTTCATGGAAGCGGTCTCTCTCTCTGAGAGACGTGTGTACAGACACATGCACAGGCCGCGTCGAGCCGATGGCCTGAATAGAATCGAGACTAACGTGCGTCGCTACGTATGTACGTCTCCTGTACAAGCTTGCTTCACCTTTTTCCCGTTCCCCTTTGCAACTCTGTTCTTTCCCGATCGACTTCTGCTGAACGCCCGGACGAGATCGTCGCGATGGAGGTCGCCTGAAACGCTAGTTCGAACACTAGCCGATGCCATCGACGTAAATATCGGACACAAGCACGCGAGAGCACAAACCGAAGTGCTTCGTACCTCTGTGTACGAGGCAAGAAACTCTGCCGGCCACATCACCGGTTGTTCTTGATTTATTGCCAATCGCGGAGGCCAGAAACATACGAGCCGGTAACCTTCGTGGATCGTATCCACACGGTGGATGATTTTGCCGATCATCGATTCTCCAAATTCTCCTCCCTCCTCGCGGATATTTTCTCTTCTTTTCGCCTCTTTGTTTCTCCTTCTCCTTCGACTACTCTCGTTCCATCGTGCTTTACATTCTTTCGTGTCGTGTTTTCCCGTGCTGCTTTTGACCGTTCCCTCGCTATTTCTCGGTTTCAGATCAGAGGCTACGGCACTCGAAAGGCAGCCTCGACGTTCTCTACTTCAAGTTCTCCGACAAGGTGGTCCAGCATCGCGTGACGCGGGCGGAGTTATCCCTGTGGATATGGGGGAGTAACCAGGAGTCCTCGGAACTGGACGAGACCGGCGATTTGGAGAGCGCGGAGAGCCACGAGGACGGCCCGGTGACCATCACGTTGCAGAGGATCCTTCGCGGCACCACGGAAACCGGCGGGCCGTCGTTGGGTCCGCCATTGACCACGAAACATCCGCGGCCAGTCGGTTGCAGGGGCAGCTGGGTAACGATCGAGTTAAGAAGAATGGTCGCCGAATGGTTCAAGCATCCACGGGACAATCTAGGAGTAGCGCTGAAGATCTCCAGCCCCGGTGCTAATCATCGCAGGAACGCGAAATTAGTCGAGACTAATCCCGGGGCCGAGTACGCGCCGTACCTCGAAGTGCAGACGCAAGAACTCGACTCCAGAAGAGGGGCGAGGATCAAGAGAAACGTAGGACTTAATTGCGACGAAGCCAGCCAGGAGACCAGATGTTGCCGATACAAGCTCACCGTGGACTTCGAGAAATTTGGGTGGGATTGGATAATCGCTCCCAAGAAGTAAGTATCGCTCCGCGACACGTTGAACGCTGAATCGATCTCGGATGTACAGGGTGCTTCGAGAAGACGACACTCGACAATTATCAAATTTTTCATTTTCGTATTTACTATTCTACAAATCGTTTCGATAATCAGATTATTTAGCAAACGAGTCGTTGAATTTTTCTAACTCTAAGAGAAACATTCTGTCCCTCTGTAAATTTTACAAATGATTTTTTTAGACGACAGGTTTTAGATTCTTTATGGACCAGGAGAGGTTCCTTATCTTTTTATTTAGTTATTCAGTAACAATTTAGTAAGAAAGTCGAATACGCTCTTGTGCCTTTGTAGATTGTAACTTGAACGATTGCTAAAGAACACTGCCGCAAAATCTAATCGATCGTGATCTTGATTTTGTGCCTTAGGTACGATGCCAATTACTGTTCGGGCGACTGTCCGATGGCCTTTCTGCCAGCGTACCCGAACACTCACATCGTCAGCTTGGCGGAACCGCCTAACAACTCTGGTCCCTGTTGCGCCCCGAGAAAACTCTCCGAGATCACGATGCTGTACTTCGATAACGAGTACCAAATTGTGTTCTCGCGATTACCAGGCATGGTCGTCGAGAGATGTGGATGTTCATAGTCCACCATGATAGCTCGAGAAGAGCAACGGCGGCAAGAAGGAATGTGTCAAGGCTCGTTGATTGATTCTTCCAGGATCTACTACTAGAAAACAAAAAAATCGTCAATAATTATTCCTTTTCTCCCTATCCATTCCCATTCTCTGTCTACTCTTGCTTCTCTTCTTTTCCTTTTCCCTTTGCTCCATTCATTTTCTACGTTATTTCCTCTCGTCCGTTCCCTGTTTAAATTCCCTTCAATTTTCATTGACAGTCTGTGACTATCGTGTGATCATCGTTGTCGTCGTCGTTCCGTCTTCGACGAATATTTTCATTCGATAGACTGAAAGTGCCTTGTTCGGGGTGATTTTAGTGTGCCGCAAAACTTACCCTTCTTAGTGACACGAGGAGACGAGATTCCTTCTATGAACTCAACGAATAGCAAGCAGGACAGCGATCGGAGGAAATCGATGAAAGTCCGTTCTTTTTTAAGCTAGTAATAACGGGCACCTTTTTGATAGTCGTTTATCGTCCATGGCAAAGCGGATAGTTCCTAGAGTCACGGTATTATTATTAAGGTGTCGATGCGTTTTACACCTGATCTGAGAGAACGACCGCAGAAAAAGAATTATTTTTTATACGGGAGCCTATTGCAATTTTAAAATCTCCCCTCGGAAACTGATTTTGTGATGATCCGTCTTTATCGAGCTAGAAACTGTTTACGAGTCAATGCAAAACACGAACAAACAATCGTCTTATCACAATGTTCCCTTGCACATCGTTGCCTTTCCAAAAAAAAAAGAAAAAGAAGAAAAAAAAAACGAGGATACGAAGATGAAACGATTCGTTTCCGATAGTCGTCGTTGATCGGTGAAAACGTGTTGGCCGACAGATCTCTGTGTACAGTGAATCATTTTTTTCAATATTTCTCTTTCTCTCTATGTCTCTGTCTTTTCGTATATACATATGAAAAGATTTTATATATATATATATATATATATATATATATATATATATATCTTCTTTCTTCTCTTTTTTTCTTTTTGCAGATAAATACATACACGTATGTACGAACGCGCGTACGCACTATATTCTTTTTGAATATACATACATACATACATACATACATAAGCGCAAACCTTTTCGTTCTTTTTCCTTCTTGCTTTCTTCATTTTTGTTCTTATTTTCTTTTTGTTTTAGTGAGTCATGTGAATGCGTGCATAGGAATGTGTGTACGAGTCGTGTAAATATGTCGTACCTTGGTCGTACCTTTGTCGCTTTTCTACGAATTTTCTTGAATTTTTCACTTCTCATGTCCCCTCTTCCTTCGTCCCCCCGGGAATCTACGAAAAGGAAAAACGTTGCTTATGTAGGCTTACGAATGCATGTCCTTTTTCGGTACACGTATAGGTACGAACTGTAACAGCTGACTGATCACATTCGGAATCAACAAGTACTCCTCTGTATTCGATCAAGCCACTGTCGAATTTAACCCTTAAAAGAACTATCGTCCAAGGGAATTTATCAACGGGTGAAATTTCAATTCATGTATAATTTTGTTCCATCTCAGAAATCAACGAAATACGTACAGGTGAAATATAGAAAAATAATAAGCGATGTTACGCGACACGGCAACGTTCAAAATAATATTCGCAGAGGATGATAGTGTTTAAGGGTTAATGGGTGAGAGAACGTTTCTTCGCGCTATACCTAGACTGTCGATAAATCACATCAGTGACAATTATAATTTACGTAGGTATACTTGTATATGTGTATATCGTATCGGCTAACTTTCAGCCCTTGACATCGACGAGAAAGTGTATGTTTTCTTTTTTTTAGGAGGATGAGACTCAAAGACGTTTGCAGCGGCTACGTTTCTTCATCATTTGATAAATTATGGTAGTATCGTTGTGATATTCTAGTTGCTTGGCTGCAAAGTATGCCGACCGAGTGAACGTCCCAGTATAACATAAGACGTTTTAAGCTCGTTTCTAAGTACGTTATCCTGTGAATTTTAGAACTTCCTGTAATCTTCGCGATCTACGAAGGCGAAGATAAACGATAGAAACGACGTTCTATAATTTATTTTACGTTTACTTTTCTCTCTCTCTCTCTCTCTCTCTCCCTCCCTCTCTCTCTTTCTCTTTCAAGCGCAACTACGTAGTTTTAGGAATGTTTTTAGAAATGTTACGACCTCCTCAAAATTATCCGTTTTTCTTTTTTTTCTTTCTTAAGTGTGTGATACTGCCACGATCTATTAGCGTTTAAAATTCTACGGAAACGTGTGTGGAAAAAAAGAAATGAAGAAAGGATCTTTATCGTTCCTCTTGTATATCAAAAGATGCGCTAACCCAAGCGTGTAACACTTTTCGCTGGAAACTTTGACAACTTGGAAATTTCTTTTATTTATTTCCCATATCGCCGGTCACTGCCTTTCTTTATATTCGTTCTTTTTGTCCATTCTCTCTTTCTCTTTCTCTCTCTCTCTCTCTCTCTCTCTCTCTCTCTCTCTCAGTCTCTCCTGCTTTTGTCCCCCTCACGATCTCGTTGTCTGCAAAACACATTCTCTTTCTCGCCTGATTTTTCATCCTTCGTTTGTTTGTCAATGTGTACCTAGAATTAAAAATTAATGGAATTGTGTATTCTCAGTATCCAAACAAGGGCGGCGAATACTGCATACTTATATATATATACATATATATATAATGTGTACTTCCTAGGTAGAGAGTATTCATAGAATATTTATTCGCTGAAATAAATGGTTTTTCGATGAAAGGTGTATCGATTTATCCCATTTTTTTTTTTTTTTTTGTTTTCTTTCGAGATATTCTTTCTGTTCTTAAACGTTTCGTTCGTTATTTTCCCCGTTGCGTTCTCTTTTTCCTTCTGTGAATCGCTTGGAAAGTGATCTGGGAATTTTAGAAAGCGACAGATATTTTTTCGTTGTTTTTCGCTGTTTGTAACGATGATGATTTCGTTATTTGTAACGTTTCTCTCTCTCTCTCTCTCTCTCTCTCTTTCTCTCTCTCTAATCATTTACAACCGTTACCACTCACCATGATAAACTTTCGGGCCACGATTATTGTTTCATACTTATTTTTGTTTGTCGACTGAACCTACGTTTGTTATACAATCTTGCGGACGTTTTTTTAACAACGGAAAGATTGAAGCTACGTCATGCTATGTCACATGTGTGATTTCTGAATGGTAAACGTGTTCGTGTAAGAAAAAGCGCACGAGCCCAAAATTGTACGATCGAACGTGCGCACACATATGCAAGATGGATAATTCGTTTGTATCCGCTATCTTTTTTTCTTGTATTTTTCCTTTTCTTCCTTTTTTTCGAGGCGAGTAAATGCTCATTCGATATCAATATTTTTCTTTTCTTTTTTTTCTTTAACTTTTAATTTTTATCTCCGGTCAAAGTCAAACAAGCGAGAAGTATCTTTTGTCCGTTATGTTCGTTTAGAGAATTTTTCGCTCGAACAGGTCTTTTCCTTCTTTTTGTTATTACGCGGATGTGTGCCGCAATATAATATTTGATTACGATTATGTAAGTATGTATTGACGATCGTAAAATTATAGGTACGTCTTAATCTAATTGATTATTATAAAATACGAGCGAAGTCGCTTGTTCTCGGCTAGGAATTGTCATTATTTAATATGCATTGCCAGCCTCCAGGATCCCTCCCGCGATTTGGCAAGATCGTTTCAATTATAAAATTACAATAATTTTATCCTTTATATTTCATAGGTATATTAGGTATAGCTACGTATGATAAAATGTTACGACGTGATTAAATTGCTTTTTGAAAGCCAATATGCAATAATAAAGCTTATGTTTGTAATCGTCACAATTTTGTTAGTGGACATGTTCTTTATCTTCAGATTCCTTAATTTTCTGACTTCGTGACACTTCCTGCAAGCAATGGATTTAACTTTAAGTAGCAGATGTTTCTCTCTTTCAATAGGTAATTTAGGTTTATAGTTAATTATCGATTAACTTGTCGTTAATCTGTATACGTCGGTTGATCGTAGCCTTTCATTGTCTAATCGTGATCGATCGAATGAAGCGAAATTTCCTATGAAATTCGCCAAGTATGCAACCGGCGCAGCATGTCGGGGAGTGAGCACCGAGGACACAAAGTGAGAAATGCATGTCGAAATTCTCATACGCATGGAATACGGTGCTCGGATGCACGAGAGGACAAATGAACTAGTGGACTTTACGACGGTCAACTGTTTCGCCAGACGTGCCAATTCTCGTTTTATTGTTTTTCTTCGGCTGCGCCTCAAGCACTCGTCCTTGCCGACGGTCGGGTTAGTGATCCCCGTTCGCTGGAAACGAAATACGAAAAATTTCTGACGCATCCGAACTGGAATCGTCGCCCTTTCACGCCGTTTCATCAGCGAGTTTAGGCAGTTTTTTTTTTTTTTTTTTAAATTCAGCCATTAAATTCCTAAATTGTCTTTTCACTTGATTTTTTTTCAGCCGAACCGTAACGAGCGAGCCGTGTCTTCATTGTCTTCAAAGTTCTCGAAATTTTGCTCGAAGCGAAGATACAGTTGTACAAGATCGTATTTGAAAAAAAAAAAAATTGATATCTTTGAGCTTGATGCCATGTGATTCATTTTCAGTTGTATACTGGCTATATGAAAGTGCCTGAACACGCAGTACAGAAACTTTTTGTCGAGAAACTTCGAAGATCATCTTTAACGACTTGCTACCCGCTTACTGTATTTTGTATTTTTAAGTTGCATCCTTTCCTACGGCAATCGTTGAAACGAACCATTGTGTTTCACATTTGAAAATCACGCTCTTCGGTTTCACAATAAAACCAGACACTAAAATCAACAAAAATATACTTATCGAATGTTTTTCTCCTGGCGATGTTCGTTTCATTGAATGCGCGGCCTTTGACGTGATTATCATTATCGCCAGAGTGCCGGAGGTGGTTGCCCAGCTACGTTTTACGATTCGTTTAATGAAGCGAATTGGAACGACCGAGCATAACCATTACTTCTTTGGATTTGCATTTTACGAGTGAGTGGCCAGAGGTGAATGATGGCCTCGAAGAATCGAAGAGTAGAAGTATAATCTAGCGTGTACGTAATTGTTTCTACCACGCTTGATTCTTTATCGTTTTTACTGGCCATTCTATTCTCTCGCTTTGATACTCCACTCGAAAGAGGAAACGAGGAGCAAAGTTTTAGCGTGCTCGTACCGATCGATCACGCGATCGGACAGTTGTTTCGGGGAAGAACGGCAAACAAAGTTACCTACGCGTGTACTGTTACTGATAACGAAACTCGGACCCCCTACGTAGATTCTAAAAAAGGCTATAGCGATCAATTTATTCGTCTGTAATATTCAAAATATTTCTAACAGACGGAAGATACTCTTATATTCTTATAGCAATTAAATAGCATTGATAATATTTGAATTCGCTTGAAAGCGCTTATTTATTATTCATGGCCACCTACCGACTTGAAATTACTCGATTTGAAAACAAAATGTTCGAGAAAATTACAAAGATACGAACCATGTCAGAAAGAACACTGGCTGAGCAAGAGGAACTCAAACGTTGATAATAATTATTCAGTTATGTAATATTTTCATAATTAACAAATTTGACATCAAATTCCCGCACGCTTCTCAATTTTGTCAAACTGTTACTCCAACTTGAATTTGAAAACGTTCAAATCCTCATGGACGGTAGTACAATTCACTTCGTACGTCACAACGCGAATGTTACAATGATAAATTCCAAGACGAATTTAAAAAAGAAAGGAAAGAAAAGGGGTTACTTTTGAATCTACTTTGAGTCGATCAGCGCCACTTGCGAACGCCTGGCGCGTAGGTATCTCTACGTGAGACTAGCCTAAAGGTGGCAGCTGGCGAGATTTAGGTTGCTGCATACGTTTGAAAGTTTGAACGGACAGGAGAAACTGTCGAAGAAAATGGTGTACATGTATAATACGTCGAGAGGTCCTGATAGGAGAGGCCTGGGGCTTGTCTGTTATTCGAGGGTTAGGTCTCGGATGAACAGCTCGGTGTACTCTGCACGGTGTTCTCTGGCAAGGGTATATCAACCTGGAGACATTCTACGAAGGGTCGAAACGTTAAAGGAACGGGCGCAACGGAAGGAGGGTTCCGGATCGTCGAGAGGGATGCAACCTCTCTTTCTCTCTGTCTCTCTCTGTCTCTCTGTCTGTCTGTCTGTCTGTCTGTCTGTCTGTCTGTCTGTCTGTCTGTCTGTCTCTCTCTCTCTCTCTCTCTCTCTCTCTCTCTCTCTCTCTCTCTCTCTCTCTCTCTCTCTCTCCCTCTCTATTTACTCCGTCTGAGAGTTGTCTGTCGTTGTTGATGAACGCGCTAATTGTCTAGGAAATTTAAAGAGTCTCGTTAATTGCGGCGCTAACGAATTCTTTTTCATTCATTCTCCACGTGTAGAAGCTGCGCTTCTGTTTGAAAATCGTGAAAATTGATCAGCAACACGTGTGTGTGAGAAACGGCGATAAAGACAGAAACAAGAAATATTCTTATTTGTCAAGTATGTACATCTACTAATTGAACGATTACGATCGTTTAAGAATGGCGTCAGATGATTCACTGAACGTTTCTTTCACGCCTACGATGTTTAGAATTCAGGAGATTGACGGTAGAGGAAGCTTCTTAAAAATTGAGTTAATGAAGCTCGGTATATTTGATTAAGTGCGCGAGTAGGCATTCGAGTGACGACGGTGCATTTATGTTCTTAAGGATACAAACATGGTTGTTCAAATAGTTGGTACAAACAAACTCTGAATATTTTTGGAGCATTTGGAGATTGTAAAAATAATATTGGACAAAGGCTTCGCAATTTTAGTGATGTAAAAAATTGAAGTTATATTTTATCAATTTTGTTATATAATGTTTTAGTAAAAAAAAAAAGAAAAGAACTTATTTAATGTGAGATTTGTTTTTTGTTAGATTATAACTTCAGTATATTATAATTTCAATATAACTTATATATATTATAACTTCAATATAATTTATATATATATATATATTAATTTTGTATATATATTATAACTTCAGTTGTGTGTGTTATTAAATTTTCCAATTTCGAACAATTCTCCTTAACTTTCTTAAAATTTTCAACGAACGAAATGACCAGTGGCTCTGATGACTAATTTCACAGAGCTACCAATCAATTCAATTTTAAAGGCTCGCGATGCAGTATGCAGTTTCACTCTCTCCTCGAAATTTTCTCTTTCACGGTCAATGACGCTTGTCAGCTAACCAACCAACCGAACCAACCGATTCACGCAACAACACACATATTTTTATCGGATTCATCAGTCCGCGCGTTTCAATAACTAAAAATAAACTCGCTGGACAATCCAACAATTCCATCTACCCCCCCCCCGCCCCCCCCCCCCCCCNCTCTCTCTCTCTCTGTCTGTCTGTCTCTCTCTCTCTCTCTCTCTCTCTCTCTCTCTCTCTCTCTCTCTCTCTCTCTCTCTCTCTCTCTAGGCTTCGTCCAGATATAGCGTGAATACCAAGCAGTCGGAGACTCTTTGTCATCTCTTTTGCACATACGTTCAGTTTGAAATAGGAATTATGCGAGAAATGCGAGACACGCGAGACACGCGACAAGAACACCCGGCGAGAGGAAATATTCCTAGTACACCGTTCGACTACTCAGCCGGCTTACGAACGTGAGTGGAGGTTAACAAGCTAAGAATGCTCCACGAAGATATATCCGCCACTTGTCCGCGCTGGTTCAGAAAATATTTGGCATGGATCTTTCGCGATTTCACTGACGGTCAGGCCAATTGGTTGGAAGGACTGGAGGTCGAACGATATCTACGATGAAGTTTAAATTAGCTCACGGTACATGATATTTCGAGAGCATCGCGGTTCGGTTCTCACAGCAGGATAAAATGACGAATTTTACGCAACCAAATTTAGTCTAGAGAAGAAAAGATCAACCGTTTCATTTCCATCTACCGAAAAATTTTACGAGAAGAAAATATTGTATTCTAAAATACCCGTTGGTTTGATATCGTACGTAATTATTAAGAAAACGATTAACCAATCGTGATTGTGTTAAAAATTTATAAAAAAAAATCTGTTGCAAGAGTTGCGACAGGAATACGACGAACTCTGAGGATCAGGTGTAGATGTACAAATAAAACATCGACATCGCGTCTGCAAACTCCTTTCAATTGGCAACAAGATAGCAAGGATCCGATGGCGTCGGAACGCGGGTATAGACGCATGTCCGCGAAGAAAAACTCGAAGCGAGGATCCTCCTGCTAGCAGGAGGAAGCAGCAATTGACACTCCACTCGATCGAGCTGGAGTGTCAGACTTACAGCGTCGTTGCGAGAAAGACAATAGCAGTATTCTCCAACTTCACTAAGTATACTCGACAAATTGTCATATATATCGGTGCAAGCCACTGACGGTCCCTTTCGACGCAAGTTCTTCAACAGCCCTTTAATCTCGATATACGTACACGAACCGGGCGGGGTGGGCAGAGGGCCAACGAAGGCAGAGTGGAGAAAGAGAGAGACACGGAGCGGAGAAAAGAGAAAGAGAGAGAGAGAGAGAGAGAGAGAGAAGGTGCGATAGCTGGCTACTTTATACTCGGAGGCTAGCTACCTGCCTGAAAGGGGAGGTATTACGGGGTTACTAAAGTGTTGTATGGCCTCCCCAAGCCCCATAAGGATAGCCCTCAGGCACGCACCCCTGTTATCGTATGCGTATGCAGTTTTTTCGCTGGTGCGTGCGCGGGTCTCGCAGCCCTTATATGTGCAGTGAAGGTGAAGGGGGCATCGGGTAACACGGGCAGGCAGCCACCCAAACG